CCCAACACTTCATCAGAATTGTCGTTCTGTTTTGTCCTCAGAGCCCCACAGGCTCGGAAGACCATCATGAGATGAACATCGTCTGAAGGGCAGCAACAGTTCACGGAATACAATGGTGCCGTAATGAGTGCTTCGTGTTACAAGCATGAACCGAATTCAATTCACAAGCATCACTGGATAGCCTTTAACATACTGACCAGAGAGGATACGGCCACGGATGGAGACGTTTCCCGTAAAAGGGCATTTCTTGTCCACGTACGTGCCTTCAATAGCCTGAGGGGACAAAACAGAACAAGCATATTAAGCGGTTCTGAATCTGAATCTGTGAATTAACCGAAATGCGCCATTTTGGATGGCATCAAATCGCATCAGCTCTGCCAAAAGGCGTCGTCGCCAAAACCCTGCAGGCGAGGAAGACCATCGCGAGAGAAACATCACTTGCAGATTCAATCAAGACTTGAACAGGACTTGAAAATGGACCTCTCTGGGGGTTTTGAAGCCCAGCCCGACACTTTTGTGGTTCCGGGGGAGCTTTCCTTTGCTCTGCGTGCCTCCATGGGCGGCCAGAACACGCTTCTTCTTATGGAAGATGGTCGGCTGCTTCTGATAAGCCCGCTCTGTCTGCACAAGGACAAAAGTACGCGTTCACAGCACGACCAAGAACAACGACAAAAGTGATTTTAAGACGAGCTACGGAGAACGTGAAGGTGGCTAAGCTAACCGCATTTGCAATCCGGCTGCTAGCGTAGCGTCACACGAGGGTAAGCGGAGTTCCAACAGATTGCTCATCTAAAATATCCACGACACTTCGAAAAACCACCCCCAGCGCATGCCAATTTATATTCAATAAAATTGGGCTTGTGTGTTGGCTAAAACGTAAAAAGTCGTTTGCAACACCCGGGCCGTTTTCTCGAACATACTTGTGCATCCGCCATCTTGGCCAGCCGAGTTGTAAAGAGGGCTGAATACGCGCGCAGCGCACGCAAGTCGGTCAGATCGACCAGAAATGACGCAATACAACTATTATTTTTTTCTTTTCATTTTTCGTCTTTTAATGATTATTTATTGAAGATATTGCAAATGAATTGTTAATGATGAATGTATTTTTAAAAATCACTTTATTGTGTTTGTCATAGCTCACATAATGTGTGTGACTGCGTTCTGACGTACTGTGGAAAACGTATTTTCAAATAAAGTTGTGAACGGAGAAGAAATGGATACTACATTTTCCAACTATGCTTATTTTCCATGTAT